GAAAATAAAATATTTGGATAAATTATATTTAATTTTATAGCTAACAAATCTCTAAGAAATTTTAAGAGACATAATTAGAGACATAAAAGGCATAGATTCTAGGGCCTAGATTAGCAAAGTATTAGAAAAACATGAAGAATATTTTAAAATATATTAACAACAGAAACAACCTGAAAGAGAAATTTCTCGGTAAGTGTACCAGTCTAACACATTGTTTTGGAACCGTGACTGTTTTGAACTACTCCTATGTCCAAACTCTTGCATTGCGATAACCACATACATAATAATAAATGTTATTAAATGAATGAATGATTTACTCTCAAGAGGTGAATAACTATAAAAGAATGGTACATCAATCATAGGAGAAACAAATAAGTACTCAACAAGATAGTGTTAACATTTTAAGAAAAGCAATGAATATAAGCAAATGAATGAATGAGGATTGTGCTGTAAGTTGAATAATTGGGTTTCCTGGGTAAAAATTAATAATAATATGAAAAATATAAGTGCATGAATTAGGCTTTTATTGGTTGGAAGCAGTAGAAACCAATTCTGGCTAAGAAAAGAAAAAGATAATTCATTGGCAGTATTTTGGGGCTCATGAAATTGGCAGAGCTGCAGTTAGGGTTAGGAATTTGCAGAAACCAAGGTCATTTTGAAGACTAAGAAGCAGGACACATAATGGAAAATTCAGATCAGGGTGAGGCTATTGGAGGGAGGTGACAAGGAAAAGTTTGGTGGTGACTTGAATGAAAGTTATTTCAGTGAAGACTGAATATTTGTTTGGAGAAGACTGAAGAGAAATTGGGAAAAGCAACTCTTTTGATGAATTTTTCTGTGAAAGGGAACACAGAAAGACATTAGGCCCAGAGATGATTCTCTTTTATTACTGCTACTTTGTGTGTTTCTGTAATGATAGGACTGAACCACTGGCTAGAACATATCTCTGCAAGGGTCCCTAGGCTGGTTCCTTCTCATCTTTCATGTCTTAGTTCTATGTTACCTCCCATTTCTAGTTTTATATTCTTATTGTATTTTCTCTACAGTACTCATCCTTGCCTGAAATTATCTCCTGTATTTGTTTGATTACCTCCATCAACTAAAGCATGAAATTAAAAGAGCAGCGACTTTGTCTTGCTTACCACTGTTTCGCTAGCAACTAGAAAAGTGGCTGTCATGTAGCAGAGGTTCAATAAGTTTTTGTGAAATAAAGAAATAAGCAAATGGATAACTAGAACTTTGACTGTTTCATTCACTCTTTTTTCACTTGTTTGAGATCAAAAGTCCCAGGATCCCACTGCTGAACAGCCAAATTGAGATGCTATGCAGTCCTTTGTCTGGACAGGGCTGTCCTTTCTTGGGTTATATGGTGCAGGCTGAGCACATGAATTTATTTTCCCTTCGAAACCAAATATGAGCGGGGAGGCAATTCCCAGAGGGAAATCAGAGATTATGCTCACTGCAGTATAGAACTGTAAGGAAGAAGAAGGAATGTTTACTTCCTGCTTTAAAAATGCTGTAAATGAAAAGTTTATGTTCCTGCTCATTGATTAACAGCTTTCAACTTTATTCCTATGTTTCCTGAGGAAAGACTTCAGAATCAAGAGGTAGGCAAGTCTCTCGGCACACACAGATAAACATCCCCCTCCATTAAAACAGGCTGGAAGCCTGGAGATAATTAGACCCACTGTGTCAAGCAATCAGCATCACAGGGAAGAGGTCGCAAAAAAACAATGACAAGAGAGCTGGCTAATTCTTGAGAGAAATGAAAGGAAAGCCTTGCAATCAGTTGAAAGATGTTTTGCTTGTTGCGGTTCATGGATTGATCTGTACTTATTTGTGTGATGTTACTTTAGTTTCTCACCTTCACCTCCTCTCCTAGCACAGACACACCCAGACTCTCGCACATAGTCACAGTCACCTCGTGTCCCTCACAATAAAAGCATAGTGAACTTTGTTAGGTCAACCCTGTGAAAAGCAGTCATTTGTCTACAGGGGTGTGTACCCCCATAAGAGGAATACCTACGAGGTCCTTCTGCTTGCTTTTGTTTATTTATTCTTTCCAATGCTCGGGATATGTTTAGTTAGAAAAGTCATTTGGAAACCCAAGACCTGCTTCATTTACTCTTTTTCAATAGAACATTTATGGCTACTAGAATGATAGTACGATCAGCTCCATGAGAATAGGGGCGGCATCGAATTCACTCACGCCGAGCAGCTTGCCTAGTACTCAGTAGGTTTTCAATAAGTATTTGGTAAGTAACTGAATAAACAATTAAGAGTGAGTGGACCGATGAAGGCCAAAGGGCTACTTCCCAAGTAGGGACTCTAAAGACCTCCACGGGGACTTCTACTCCTCTCCTCAGCCACACCACTTCATTGTAAACGTACTATCTGTGTTCTGTCTTGCTCGTTCCTCATTGCTGTTTCTTCTTCTACTCTCCTTTCTGGTATTGCTGATACTCAGTCATCTAAGTTTGATAAGGCATTCTGATTAGCCTTGGCAGGAGAGCACATAAAGTAGGCATGCTCCTTAAAATTCCTTGTTATCTGCATATATGTGATTTCTGATTCTAAGAAAAGATGCATTTTTGACAGACTTCAAGGTAAGTTTTCAAATAGTGCATAGTAGTCTACAAGAGCCCCAATGAGCATGCAGTATTTTTTTAAGTTTAAAACTTTGTTAATGGTGGAAATGCCAATAATTTATATGTATAAATGTCTAGAACTTTTGTTACAGCACCCCTTGTTTTCATTAGATTTAAAGGGGAATATTGTCGTTTTTCTTAAAATCCAGTTTGAGTTTTTAAAATAAGACCATTTTCAATGATTTTCATTCATAAGTACTTTTCCTTAGCTTAATCATAAAAGAACATTATCATTAATTTCATTATTTAGCCTGCTCAGTCAAGAATTCTGTAGACCAATACGTCTTCGATAAACCTGCTAATTACTTTACCACCTTCTTCCGTAATCCTTCCCCCCACAGGACTCATTTAAGGGATAGAAAAAGTCACTCTGTTTTTCAGGGACTTTTTGTACCAGACATATCTCCCCACTTGTTTTTGATTAGTAAGATGTAAGATAAGATTAATAACTTTTATAAAGAATTAGTGCCTATACTGTCTTTCACCAGCCATTATTGAGATGACCTTCCTTTCATAAATTGTTATAAACCAAATACATGGTGAACATCTGCACATTCCTCTAAAATGTACTAAAAAATAATCTACTCTGTGGGTTTTGTAACCCATTTCTTGTTTGCCCGGAGAATACTTGCCGGTGGCATTTGTGGCTGCAGTGTTTACCCCGAGATGACTCATGGATTACGGTCCTAACCTGACCAACAAAGTTTGCCACAAAATATCTTGCTTTTATTATTATTTTCACATCACTCTAGTATATTGATAGTCTTTGGAAACAAATGACATAATTCTATATATAGCATTCTGTTTCTACTAGTGGTATTTCCATTTACAAAATATAGTAATTCTTGATTGCTGAAAATGTTGAATCCTAGAAAACAGCATTCCTACACATGATGTTAATTAATGTCATTCTCGAATAGCTGTTAGCTGAAGATTCATTTGATTAATCCAATTTGTGAATATATTTCTGTTACATTAGGATTAGAGATAAGTTCTGTTTAGAAATATCTCCAAGAACAGTTTTTATATTTTATTTTCACATTGAAAACCAGTCAGATTTGCTTCAGCCTCAAAGAGCGTGTTTATGTAAAATTAACGCTGGCAGTGTGCTGCACTTTTTTTTTTCTAAATAGGAAATAGGTTGATAAATGAGCCAAGGAAACAGAACAGAATGTTAGAGCTGGAAGGAATGACAGAAACAGCTCAAGTGAGTCTTTTATCATAAGAAAACTAAGGCATAGGTAGGTGAGAGAATTTTCTGAATTCTATATGGGCTGCTAACTAGATGTAACACCGATATCTCAACCCTTGCCTTTCTACATCTACCTAGTTAGTGATTTTTCCATGCAGAACACCAATAGCTCAAAGTTCATAACTTTACTCATAGGGGCTGGATGACTTAAAGTTCTTTTGAAGAAGTAAATGCTAATTACTCTCTTTAATAGATCAGTTCCAACTATTCCCATTATTATTGTAGTTATTTGGTCTACATGCTCTATGCCTAGAAACAAGTTCTGTGATTGAACAAACTGCTGAAAAACTGACCTAATTTATTTTGGGATGGGCTGGATGATCCATCAGGTTTGGGTGAGCCCAGAACATAAGGGATCAAAACCCAGGAGTGATTCCCAGCTATAGACTGCAGAGCTCCTGCGCGTACGTCCTGCCAAAGCAGGAAGAGAAGGGAATACAGACTAACCTGGGTCCACGAATGCATACAGGGAGAGATGTAGCAACTGGCTTAGAGAAAGTGGCTGTTGTCTTTGGACAAGCAAGAGAGAAGCAGCAGCAGTGGCTACAGATGAGTTGTTACAGTGAACAGAACACCAGCTAATCAGCCACAATTTATCACCTCTGCCTCTTGTGTCAGGAAGCCTTAATTAGGACATGGCCAGGCTTGTGAGTCCCAGGGAAAGATAATCACAATTAGGGGTCTGTGGCAAAAATTACTGCTTATCCTGTAAACTAATCCATTCCTGTGTATGCTCCCCTCTCAGCAAGTCATGTGACTGTTTTCTTAGTACTGGTTCTGGATGTAAATATGCTATGGTTTGAACACAAAACCACTGCTTCTGGCTCACTTTGAATGCATTTTCCAGAAATAGTGAATATGCAGTTATTCTTCATCTCTACCCATGCCTGCATTTGATTTGTAAAATGTTTTGAGGAGGTACTGTAGCTTTGTAATTGAATTTTGTTTTTCCTTTGGGAAGTTAACTATCTTTTCCACAGCCATTGTGGTTGCCTAGCAGCAGGAAACAGTGGAGGAGTAACAGGGATTCTAAAACTCTAAAGAATGGGGATAGCTGATGCCTATCCCATGACAGGGTATCCCACTGGGACTGATTTGAAATGGGAGAATGTTATAGCAAGAAATCTGTGGCTCCGGGGTCTGAAACCCCAGAGAGAAGCAGGTGAGTCCCCAGCTCCTCCTGTCCCAAAAGAATTTATGGGAATTTCTAGATAAAGTAGCCTTTGCTCAGTGCTTAAAAAAAAGCCTTTCTAAAAAATCTGGGGGAAATATCAGACAGACCTTTCATCTTCATGGAGAATGACCCCTTTGTTTGAACACTGCTGTCTTCTCAGATCATAGGGCAGGACCTGAACACACAGTAGGTTGCCAACAAATATTTGTTGAATGAATAAACTGTCTTTCACTTGCTCTTCTCAAAATCACACACTTACCCCAATTATTTTACTGGTGTGAGAAGGGTGGGGGTTTCGAGGTAAGCCAGCCCTTTTTCAGAACCACCTTAATGAAATGTCACCTTTACTGCTCCCTTGTCAGGAGATATACACAAAAGAAGCTAGGTCATTCCAGCTCTCCCCAAATAAAAACCCAAACCAACTCTGGCTACAAACATGGAAGCACAGTTTACCTCTATAATTGATCTATGGTTAATCACTGGGAAATCTGCATGTTGGCATAATACTCGTTTCCCCTTCAAATGTGGAAATACCTTCCTTCCACTTAGAATTTTCTTATAAACCTTGAATGGGAGCTGGATCCTGGAGGGCGGTGTCCTGTGTGATACATTCACATGTAACCATAGTTCTGCTTTGTTAAGCTTTAAAATGTACTTTTCATAACATAAAATGTGTGGGCTTTGCTTTTATTTACTTTTAAACTTGGGTCTGTGATCTACGGATAATATGGAAAATTAACAAATCCTCCCAAATTTTATGTGAAATATTTCCATGTACAAAGGAATCTATGAACCTCAAAAGATTAACAATCTGTGAGAGGGAGGAAATTTTTTGTCTGTTAAAGAAAATGAAATTTAGCAAACACTCATTTTCTTTTAATTTTCCTGAACACAGCACCTACAGAGATAATATGTCAATGTGCTGACAATTGGAGAGGTGAACATAATGTTACTGAAGAAAAATGCCCCGTGATTAACAACTTTGAAATGAATAGTCCAGTGTACAAGCAGCAGGGAAGCCAAGTGGAAAGTAGGACTTTGTTCTCACTGCAAATTATCATTGGTGTTTTTGTTCTCCTGTTATATGGAGCTCAGTGTTCTGAGCAAGGAGAGAGCAGGGCTTTGAGACAGGAGACAGGGGAAAGACCATGCTACCTTGGTTAACCTTTAGGTGGGTTCAGTTTAGCTTCTTCACTTCTAAGCAGGAATAAACTGGTCCCATTGTCTGTTTGCCTGCTCTGCTTTTCTTTCTCTTCTTCCTCTCTTCTCATGCCCTTGACACAGACCTTTTCCGTAGTTTACAGAAACCAAATGAGAACTTGCTCCTATGTTGTGTAAGCAAGGGAGGATTAGGACTTGGATGCAATCAACCCAGGGAATAATAAAAGCATTTTCCCAGGAAATTCTTTTTTATAAGAGTTGAGTGCTCAATAGCTGCATTTCCAAACCAATTTTATTAAAATCATTTATTCACATGGACTTATTGGTGACTGATTATTACCACGCCAAACCAGCCTTAAAAACATAGGGCAAAATGTTTGGGGAACAGATAGAATGACATTTCACTTAAAGGAAGGAAACATTTATGTTTTTGTCAAGCACTGAGAAAAAAATGTAAAGCTTGCATGTCATATCATTGCTCTATGCCAATAGAAATTTAAAGAATTTTTTTCAATTTTTCCATGAACTCTGAAAAAATACTACAATAACAGCAAGCTTCATAAATACATTTGTTAATTCTAATTTGTTTTCTCTCGCTAATAGGCTTTCTAAAGCTTTTAAAAAATTAATTATGGTACAACATTACTTGTACTGTGTAGGCTGAGTTACTATGGATACTCTGGGGCCATGACTCATGACCTTTAAATATTATTGTCAAGAAGCCAAAACTCCCTTTTAAATCAGTAGTTTTGTTTTTACCATTATTAAAAGAAGGTGATTTCAAATAGTACTTTCTCTTACATATTTGTGGCACATCTGAATATGTACATAAGGGTATTGTACTCACAATGTTTTGTTTTGCTTGGTTTCATTCAGTGACAGAATATTAATTTCTTGCGTGGCATGTCATCAGGTGAATAAAAAATAAGGTACAGTCTTCATAGTCCTATGAGAGTGTCACTGAGAAATGCAAAAATGTAGGTAGACAGATAATTATATACATCATAACATGTAATAAGAGATATAAAAGATAGACATCCAAAAACTACAGAGGCAAGAAATACTTCTGACTGGTAGGTTCAAAGAGGCAGCTTTTGAGTCTTGGTGTGAAGAATGGATAAGGTTTTAACAGGGAGCACGGGTGGTCTAGTAAGGGGAAAGAACCTAAGGAAAGGATAAACCCATACTCTAGAGCTATTGGATGGTACAGTTTGGTAAAAATGTCAGTTTTGTGAGATCCATTGATAGAAGATAAAATTGGTTGGATGGTGAGAGAGGCCAGCCCTTGCTGTTTTGTCCAGCAACTGTGCTAACCAAAAAGTTGTTTTCCATTTCATGATAAAGAGGAACTGTCAAGAAGAGAGCACCAGAACACTGGGTTTTGTTGATTTAGGTATGATGCGAGAAAAGCGGTAACATCTCTCAGAACCCCAGAGCATCTTTCCACTAAGTGGGAATTTCATTAATTTTATTCAATAGTCACTGATTACTTTGTTAACATTTTTAAATAAATTTAATTTTTTTTGAAAAGTGAGAGACAGGCACAGAAATATGGAAATAAAATAATACATTTTTAAAAAAGATAGTAGGATAGAAAATAATAGAAGTACCCCTGGATTTTAAAGTAAGGCTTGTTTGTGGCAATAGTAGAATGAGACTTAAAAAGATTTAAGGTTTACTAAATCATTCATTTATGAATTCATTCCACAAATATTTATTGACCATCCTCTTCAAGATGCTAAGGATGAGTAACAAAACAACAGAAAAATCCCCTATCTTCAAGGAGTTTACATTTTCAGTCGGGAAGAAATATAATAAATATAATAAGCAAATTATATAGTATGTTAGAAGGTGGTATGTACAGCAGAGAAAAACAAGCAAGGTGATGAGGATGGAGAGGGGAATAGGGAGTTCAATTTTAAAGGAAGTACATATGGTAAGCCTCACTGAGAAAGTGATATTTGAGCAAAGACAAGAAAGAAGTGGGAATAGCCAAGTGAACAGGTGTGAAGAAAGTATTCCTGGCAGAGGTACTTGAGATAGGAGTCTATGAGGTTGAAGAGGAGTGAGGAGGCCAGTGTGACCTGGAGGGGAGGGATCGAGAAAGAGAATATTACACGCATTCAGAGAAGTAAAGCCGGAGCTGTGTGGGGCAGGGTCAGGAGTGGGATGGAGACCTACAGTAGATGGCAAAGGTGAATGGCAGAGACATCTGTAGGACCTTGTAGGCCATTATATGGGCTTTGGGTTTTATTCTCAGTGACATGAGATTCCTTTTTGGAGGGTTTTGAGCAGAGTTGTGAAATGATTTTTCTTATGATTAACGTATCAAAAATAGAATGTAGGGGGCGCAGGTGGAAGCAGAGCGAGCCCATTTAGTAGGTTAACCCAGGCAATAATCCAGGCAAGAGCTAATGGTAGCACGTTAACCAGAGTGTCAACAGACAGCAGTGAGCGTGGACAGATATTGGATATATTTTCATGGTAGGCCAAGAATTTCCTGTTGGGTTGGAAATGGGTTCTGAGACCAAAGGAAGACTCAAGGTTTTAACCTGAGCAATGACGTCATCGGCTGAGATGAGGAAGACTGTAAGTAGAGCAGGTTTGGAGTAGGCATCAGGAGGTAGGTTTGAGAAATGTTGAAATTAAGATATCAGGTCTACAGCCATGCCACCCTGAATGTTATCGATCTCATCTGATATTGGAAGCTAAGCAGGGTCGGGCCTGGTTAGTACTTGAATCACTTAGGAATACCAGATGCTGTAGGTGTTAAAAAAAAGAGAGAGAAATTAAGATGTTCATTCTTAAGATCACTTAGGAATACTAGATGCTGTAGGTGTTAAAAAAAAAAGAGAGAGAAATTAAGATGTTCATTCTTATCTTAAAAATAAAATATGAGGTGTCAAGAAGGCAACTGAGCGAGTGAATCTGGGATTCAAGGAAGAAGTCTGGACTAGAGATATGTATTTAGGAGTGATGGGCATATTGATGACAGTTAAGGCCAGGAGGCCGAAGGAGATGCCCAAGAAGTTAAATGTGAATAGAGAAGAGAGGAAGCCCTGTAGCCTGACAAAATTGAGCACTCAAGGACATGAGAAAAGACCATCTAAGAGGACTGAGGAGCAGCGGGTAGCATAGCAAAGAAACCTGGGGTCTGGGGGAGGGTGTGGAAGGGCCTGGAATGGCCTGGAGCCAAGTGGAGAAAGTATTTCAAAGAAGTGACAAATCATGCTAAAAGCTCTCAAGTAAGGTAGGTTGTTGGTAATATGGTGAACTCAGTAGTGCAGTTACCGTAGAGTGGAACTTGTGACAGTCTGAATGAAGTGGCTTTAACAAAAACAATGAGGAAAGGAACTGGAGACAATGAAAATATGGTTTTGCTATAAAAGGGGTCAAAGTAATCAAGCAGAAACTAAAGGGTTAAGAGGGTTCAAGATGCAATAAATAACCGGCATGTTTGTAGACTACTGGAAATGATCCAGGAAAGAGAGCAGAGAAAGAGAAATTGGTTGCGAAACAGTGTAGAAGACAAAGAATTCTCTAAGTCTGCGATTTCATAGGATGATATGCTTCCCTTCCTCCACTTTTTTATAAGTGGAAATAAGAGATTCTGCAGGTTTTCAGAACAGATTGTACTGTTCAGACTGCTTATTCTCAAGAAAACCTTTAAAGGCTATTTTATCTTCTTTGAGTAAAGTTTACATTCCATAGTTTTGATTTCCTTTGGAAATGTTCAGAAATTGACATTTGGAAGGAATACCTTAGAAAATTTATCTTCAACGTTACAGTATAAAGATCTATTTGATGTGGGGCTGTGCATATGCGTGTGTGTGAGTGTGCAAGCTTCTGAAATGTTGGAACTTAAACTCTTACTTTATTTCAGCATCACGTCTGGAAGTTCAGAGTCAGATATACAACAAAGAAACAAAATACGGGTAAGAAATATAGTTTGTATGAATTATTATTTTGGAAAAGATTACAGTTTTAAAAATTATAATGAAACTGTAATTTCCTGCATTAATGTTGAGATTTTCCTAATATGTTTCATTTTCACATTTTACTAAGGAAAGATTTTAAGAATAAAACATAGAATGTTCTTTCTCAAGTAGAATGAGGTAAAGTGGGCAGGGTGCCAACTAAGGGATGTATGTTAGTGGGTAGCAGAGAAGTTAAGTACCACCGGTGTGGTGTAGCCTTTCCCATTTTCACTTGAAATAAATCTCACGCTGCTTCTGTGGCCCTACTATGTAGTGGACATCCTGGTTTACTTCAAAGTGTTTTCTTGTATTTGAGGAAATCCTATAATTCAGACATGGTACAGTTTGGGTAAATCACATTATTTAGTTTATTTAGACTTTAGATTAAATCACAGTTTATTCCATATATTTCCAGTTCACGCTTTTTCAGATCAGCTGATGACACACCTAGCTCTGACCCTTGAGGCTTTCTTCCATGAGCTCTATTATGTCCTGGGACAGCTGGGTCCTTTATACTTGAGCCACATCTAGTCGCTCTATGTAGGTTGTTGATAAGTGTTGAAGCTAGGTGATTCTACATGGGGGGTGGAGGGGTGTCATTATACTAGTTCTCCACTTTTATGTAAGTTTGAGGAATTTCCTCAAAAAAAGAAAAATATAAGCTATCAGTACACCCTGGATTCAGTTTTAGAATGGATCTCCTAGATTCCACCCACAGACATTTCTGAAACAATTCTTTCAGCTCTGATATAAAGGCAGTGTGGTATAGAAGAATGATTGCAGAACTAGGAACTAGGTGCAGATTTGCCACCTCCGAGCTCTGTGATGATAGTCGAGCTATTTAATCTCTCTGAGACTATTTTTCATCCATAGAAAGAGGATGATGAGACTTTAGTAGTCCACAGTCATACTTCGGAGATATTGCAGTTTTGGTTGGTGTCAGGTCACCACAATAAAGCAAATATTACAATAAAGTGAGTCATGCAAATTTTTTGGTTCTCTGGTGCATATAAAAGTTATGTTTCCACTTACCATAGTCTACTAAGTGTATAATAATACTGTGCCTCAAAAAAAAATGTACATACCTTAATTAAAAAATACTTCAGTGCTAAAAAACACTAAACATCTGAGCTTTCAGTGAATTGTAATCTTTTTGCTGTTAGAGAGTCTTGTAATGTTGCCTCATTGTTGATGGCTGCTGACTGATCAGGGTGGTGGTTGCTGAAGGTTAGGGTGGCTGTGGAAATTTCTTAAAATAAGACAACAATGAAGTTTGCCACTTTAATTGACTCTTCCTTTCACGAACGATTTCTGAAGCATGCGATGCTCTTTGATAGCATCTTACTCACAATAGAACTTATTTCAAAATCG